GCTACAGGAAAGATATTATTGGGTCACAATGATTTCATTTTTATATAAAAATACAAAGAAATGTGTGTTTTTGTATGTATATGACTGGATGTGATCTTAAAGGGTTAAAAATAAATTTTCAATGTGTCACCAGTCGACTTGCGAAGAGCAGTGCTGCACAATTAATACATTAATCACAATTTTCCCACAATTCAATGATTGGCTACGGTATTAAGTGACTGCTAACATTTAACTGACCAAACACTTTTATTTTGAAGTCAGCTAGTCACAGGATGTGGTCAGTTAGCTTCAATCAAACTGCGTCTACAGAACGAGACAACGATCTTTGTTCGGGAGAGTTTTTGTTCGGAGCAACACGCTCAATTTGTCAAAAGGAAGTTGTTCTTCAATCCCTTATTCTCTCTCTCTCTCTCTCTCTTCACCACAATCAGCCGTCCTCCGATCAATACAACTCTCTGAACTCACTCTGGATCACGCCACGAATTGCTGATTCATCCACTATCAAACAGCAAAAACCCGGACTGGATCTCCAGACATAAGTGATTAACAATCTACCACTCAGCCAGGTAACGAACATAAAATCTGATCAACAACAGCCGAAATTAAAGTAATAGTAATATTAAAGTAATACACTTTCATTAAAGTGTAAAAATGTGTGACTCCGCCCACTCCACCTGTGTGTTTCCTGTTACCTCGTAGCCCAGGCGGGCAGCGCGCTGCAGCAGTGTCTCTCCGGCGTTTTTGTTCACGATGAGCCGACGGACTTCAGGAGGGACGGGCCGGGCGGCGTGCTGCTGCAGAGAGGAAGTTCGACGGGCGGGAGAACGAGACGGGTCCGACGGCGAGAACTGTGTGTGTGTGTGGAGAGAGTGAGACAGAGAGAGAGACAGGGCTCCATTTTAGTTCCTCTGTTACAGCAGACAGGGCCTTTATTTGAAGCAGGCTTATATTAGAGTATTTTTAGTATTTCTACTGAATTGACTCGTTTCAGCCTTTAACTCTTTGGTCTTCAGCTTCCCTCCAGATTAATGACTCTTACTGTATTCAAAACTCCCTTTAAAAATCTGTCAATTTAGGTAATTTTATGCTTATTTTGTAACATTTTAATGCTTAGATTTGTAGTATTTGCACTTAAATTGAACAGTTTACCTCAGAACAAACATTTTATTCAAACATCCCTTTAATAATAAATGTATGCTCGTATTAGAAGTAACGTGTGAATACATTCTTAATTAAAGCTAACGAGTGTATTTTCTGAACGAGGAGAGTCGGAGGGAGAGACGGATGAAAAGCTGCATCGCTGAGCTGCTGACGCCACGGCAACCGTCTCCGCTGCTTAGCAGCCAGACAGCGTGTGCATGTTAATGTGTTTGTGTGTGTAATGTGTGTGCGCAGGCGTCTGTCAAACGAAGCAGCTCGCCGCCACGCATCGACAAACAGGATGTGAGCTTTGCACCGGAGGTGTGTGAGTGTGTGTGTGTGTTTTCCAGCGCAGCAAACAAGGAGGAGGATCGACACAGTGTGTGTGTTTTATTGTGTGTGTGTCCTCGCTGCCCTGAGGAAATCTCCGGTGCAGCAGCTGTCAAAACGGCACAAGCAGCCGCCGCGCACACCGAAATACACACACAAGCGCGCGTGCACACACACACACACACACACACACAGTACATGTGGAGAATATTATTCTTCCTCCATAACCTTCAATCACTCCATCCTCCCTCTTTCCCTCGCTCTCTCCTTCACTTTAATCTGCAGTGAATTGAATTACTCTCACTCACACACACACACACACACACACTCGTCCCTGCTGAGGTTTCCCAGCGAGCTCCAATCAGGACGATAATTGCAACGATTAGCGGAGAGACGAAAGAAAAGAGCAGAAACAGAAGAACTGAAAACAACTAAATGTATAAAACTAAAGAATATTTAATGTTTATAGTTTAATAAAACTGCCTGTGTGTTTAAAGAGATAAACTTTCACTCTGGTGGATGTTTTAACTCGGACTTGTTTCCATCCTGTGGGTGTTTTGACTCCGGCCCAGAGGAAGACAACAAGCGCTCCCCAACCACTGTGTCCCCTCAGAGTCTGTGGGTGCGTTTGATTTTTTTGGGTGCTTTCTGCCTTCAGATTTGTTGAATGGATATGGAGGAAAAACACAAGCGCTTCCTCCCCAGCGTCTCCCCCCTGGGTGGCTGCGTAGGGAGACACATCATTTATTGTTCGCCTCAAATAAAACCAGAAAACAAGCGCTCTCAAACATCTGGATGGCGCACAGACCTCAGTGGATCCTCCGGTATGACGACATCTCGCCGCCAAAATCTGTGAATGAGATCCACGTGGTCACACAACGTCCTCAACCGCTTGTTCGCGCCTGTTTTTTCTGTTGTGCAGTAAGTGGGCGGAGCCAGTCGCCGTTGTATCGCTGCATATGATTGGTTACAGGTAGGGATGACGTACAGTCTTATGTTGACTTCCTCATTTACTTTGAAGCAGAGGGGAACTGCAAGGGTCTGCTAGTTCTCACCCCAACTGGTCGAGACAGACGACCACCCACCTAGAGCCGAAGGGTCTGTCCTAGGTTTCTGCCTCTTAAAAGGAAGTTTTACGTTTGCCCCCG